GGGGAAGAGGGGTGAGTGGGGGGAGGATGCTGATGACTTGAAAGCGATTGCCCCGCCAAGCCAACTCACGCGAAACACCATGGATCGCCTCTCCATCACATGACTGTGAATGGCCGAGCGAACGTTGGCGGGCACGCGCTGCAACCACGCAGCTTCGAGCCTGAAAGCGCTTGCGTTGGAGCCCAGCACGACTCGCTTGTCCAGATCCACCGAGCGGGTAAACGTCCAAGCCGCAGCGCCGATCAAGAGGGCTTCATTGCAGCGCAAGCGAACAGTCACAGTCACAGTCACGCACGCGCGCGTCAGTCTCGCACGGCACCAGACACCCTCCACGCCTCCCGCCCCTTCCGGGCCGAACTCACCACCGCAATTTCCGAGCAGGGTGATGCCCGCTTGAGCGCTCGGGACTTGCGCGCTGTTGAGGCGCGATTCGAAACCTGCCGAGTGTCTTGCCGCTCCCCACACTGCCAACAAGACGATAAAGAGGAGGATGAGAAGAGCGTGGAGCAGCACAAAGAGCCACCTATCCACCTGTTGTCCCTTGACGGCAGCGCGTTGGATGCGTCCGTACGAGCCGCTCGCGCTCGAAAGCGGTCTGCTGGGTCCGTTGGCGTGCTTTTCCTGGCCTGCCGACTGGGACTGAGAGTGTGCATGCGCATAGGGATGCTTGTGGAGATGATGTCCGCTCGCGATGTACGCGCTCGTCGCTGTCTCGTAAGGCGACTGATCGTGCGTGGACAAAGGAGAATAAGGACCTCGACTGGGCGAATCGTGCAGAGGCTGATGAAGCGCTGCTGGAGGATTGGAATGCGAACGAGGATGCCGCGCGTGCCTCGCCTCGCCGGAGCCATGCTGATGGTGGCGCTGCTTGCGCTTGCACACTTTGATTGGAGCAGGTGCAGACGCGCTCCCTGTTGGCTCGCTGCTTGCATGAACGATTTCTGACCGCGTGTTTCGCGCATCTGCCTCGTACTCCTCTTTGCGCTGCTGCTGCTGCTGCTGCTGCTCCACGGGCGACTCGATTTGCACCTCTTCGGACCGCTGCTGGTAGGCTTCGGCCAACGACATGACTTCGTGGGTGGGTGCTGCGTGGCCCTCTGTGCGCCCCATGGACGCGGATGGACTGGACATGTTGAGCGTATGAGTAGATGCGAGCGCGAATCTTGCCGTCTTGTAACTTGGCAATGGATGATGGGTGGAAGATGGAGTGAGCGAACAAAGTCAAAGAAACTCGTGACCGCTCGGAGCGAGGCGGGGCCGCTTTGATGGGGATGAAAGCCTGCTGCTGCTGCTGCTTGGGCGCGCGCGCAGAATACAATTTTAATTATAATCGAGTCAAAGTGTGCAACATGAACAGTGGCGAGCAGCAGTCTTGTTAGAATTGTGCCAATTCTTGATTAGATTGTGACTCATGATGGGCGCAGCCACGCGCGCGGGCGAGTGCTGTGAAGAGAGCGCGCTGCCATGCACACACACTCAAGACTCCTCTCCACGATCAAGTACAAGTGACTTTGAGCTGCGCTGATGCATGCACCTCGTCCTCTCGAAGCCGCTGTACACTCTCGTGACTGCTTCGTCGT